AAGGATGCAAGGGCCTTGGACGCCCATGCCGAAGCCTTGCGAGCGGGGCTGGCCATCGAAAGTGGTCGAGGATGGACCGAAGATGACCGAAGAGGCAAGGATGCAAGGGTACCTGAGAAAACCGAACGGTACCGATACCGCTGCTCCCCGGACCTCTCCTGGGGTGCGTTCTGACCAGAATTTCGACACGAACCCACCAGTGGCGACGAGGGCCTCCCAGTAGGCCCCAAACAATCAAAAACGAGAGGAGTGGCAGCAGGTTTGGACGCTCGAAATGAGCACGGAGAAAATTGGCACGATACCCAACAACAACTGCTGTCCAAAACCGAAGGCGGCCGCTGTTGGGCGGGCGGCTTTGTGTCTTCCAGGGACAACGTCCGCGGCGGTGCAAACAGCGAGCCCTGCTCAAAATAAACAGGAACTGCTGCAAGTCTTTGTGCCCAATTCTTTCCGCACCCAGGTCAATCGTCCCGAGCGGTGTGGGAACCGTTCTCTCCTCTAATACTATTGGGAAGTCGATCATCCGTACCCACGTTGACCCAAAAGGGGGTCCAGCGAAAAAGGGGTGGTGCAATAGATTTGGTGCAACATATGTCTGGGTTGCAGTAGGTTTGGGGTGTGCAATACGTTCCAATGCGCAAACGTACTGCTGGATTTTCGCGTGCAATGCATTAGTTGCAATCCAATGCAACACCAGTCTCTGGCGCATTACAGTTGCCCCACATCTGTCCCCTTTCTGCTGGACACCCTCTTGGGTCACGAGGACTTCCTGTCAGCTCTGCCTGCATCCCCCCCCACCGACGCTGCCCCCGACCCCTGGCCATCGCTCGGACGTCCACTCCCTGTGTTTTTTTCGGCGTCGTGCGTGGCTTCTTCGCCAAACGATCCAGGATGCTCCTCGATCGGTCCTCGCCGAAAGAAAAATGCACACGTCCGAGCGCTGCCAGGGACCCCTCCCCGTGCCCCGCAGGGGCCAGCGCCCCGCCCGCTCGGCCGAGACCCCCCCCCCCCGAGACCTGGCGGCCGCACGACAGCCCACGAGCGGCTG